CTGTTTCCTATGATAATTTGCATGTTTTATAACTTTTATATTCTGAAATTTCGTTTCCCCTCCTTGGTTAGTTGGATAATTTTATCACAGTGTTTATAATCCCTTCTCTTTATGCATCAGTAAGTACTGTAAAGACTCAGGAATTCATTTGATTTTTCTTTGTATAGAACCATTACTGTAGTGGTTCTTTAAGTGTGCTCCATGGACTAGCAGCATCAGCATCGCCTGGGAACTTGTTAGAAATGTAAATTCATGGGCCCCATTCAGGTGTACTGAATCAGAAACTCTAGGTGTGGAGCCCATCAATCTTTGTTTGAAGAAACCCTCCACTCGATTCTGATGCACACCAAAGTTTGAAAACCACCATATTGATATTTTTTGCTCACAAAAGGTCTATTGGGCAAATGATTGGATGATTTTAAACTAAAAAGTCTGCTATTTTTCATTTTCACCTCCAGACTGTTATTCATTAAGAATGTAATGCTCCCGAAGAAGCTTGGTCAAAATTTCCTAAATCTTTAGGTATTTATCCATCAATGCAGCCACTTTTTTTTTTTAAGTAGACTGTATTTTTAGAAAAGTTTTAAATCTATAGAAAAACTGAGCAGATAGCAGAGCTGTTTCCCCTACTTTTTTATATTATTAACAGCTTACAGTAGTATGGTACCTTTGTTACAGTTAATGAACCAATATTGGTACATTATTGTTAACCAAAGTCAGTCCATAGTTCATTCAGATTTCTTTATTTTTTACCTAAGGTCCTTTTTCTATTCCAGGTTCTCATCCAGGACACTGCAATACAGTACATTTGGTTCTTGTGTCTTTAGCCTCTCCTTGTCTGATGGTTTATCAGGCATTTCTGGTTTTTCATAACCTTGACGATTTTGAGGAGTATTGGTCATGTATACTGTAGGATGCCCCTCTGTTTCAGCGTGTTGGGTGTTTTTCTTATGATTTGACTGGGGTTATGGGATTTGGAGACAGTTATTTTGTCTAGTTGTTTTTAATAGCTGGACCACTTATTTTATGAAATGCTGCTTATTTTACTGAAACAGCAGTAGGCAGCATTCTGGATTGAAAATGATGAGACACATTACCTGTATTTTTGTTATTGGGTTCTGACGCCCTCTTCCTTTACTCTATGTTAACTCCTCAACTCCAGCTCTCAGAAGCCTTTTTCCAAGAGCTTCTGGGGAGGGGCTAGGAGGGGACAGAAGAATGGGGGCATGAGTTGGAAACAGAAGGAATCTTTGTTCTTTGATATTCTGCTCATCTCTTATCCATCTTAATGTTATTACTTAACCCAATGAACATATTCTCAGTTTGGCCAGGTCAGTGACCAAGTCTAGCTCTCGAATTCATCTCCAGAGGTACTCCTGAGCTATTCAGTATTCCTTTGACCATTTGTGAAAAACATTTTTTTTGAGACATTTCTTTTGGTAGAAATTGTCTCTTCTGTTTTTCTTGGTTTAGAAATTTTAGTTTGGTTTTACGTATTAGAATTTGACTGCATGCAAAACTCAGCGTGAGGTTCTCACTGTAACCAGCAGCCTATCGAATTCTTAACCTGTTGTTTGAAAGTCTATAATTAAAAGGCCAGGAGAATTACACCATTAGAATATTACATTAGTAGACTACAGGGCACTTAATGTTGGCATTTTGTGCAGGTCTGGATTGTCCCTTACAGAATATTTAACATCTCTGGTACTACCCGTTATGTGTGAGTACGATTCCCTAGACGTGAAAGACAGGAAATGCCCTGAGACATTTCCTAATAACCTGTCTGGGGGTGGTATTAATGTCTGGTTCAGTACTACTGCTCAGATTAATATTGTATGGTCAACATGCTACTATTAAGTTTTAAATGTTTAGGCCTGCTCCTGTCAAAACTACATTTATGGACTCTGGTATTATATTAGCCTTGTAGGTTTTATAATTTTTTTCTTTTGGTGGTGGGGGATCTGTTTTAAGTTCAGTACTGATACTCTGTGACTAGCTCTCAGACTGTCCTGTAGCTAGAAAAATGTCGTTATATTTCTTTGTTGGTTATTGAGTTATCATCCATCAGTAATTGTTTTTGACTCAAATTCTGTCCTCATTTTTATTCATTTTTGTGTTTTTAAGTGTTTACTATGTGTGTAAACTCTTCAGTTTACACGGTTAACCAATTACTGAACGTGATTTATGGCTTAGCTATAGGTATTTATATTATCAATTGAGTTTCTAGCATGTCAAAAGTAGTTACAGTATTTAAAAATTAAGTCATAACTTATAAAATTAGATTTAGTATTTTGTTTCTCCCTGTATGATTTAGTTATTCCAATGTATGTGATTAGTCTATAACAAACAGTAAACTTTCCTATATAAGCAGTAGTCATTAAAAATCAAAAGCAATTGTTTAAGACATTAAACAAGGTATGAGTTACAAAGACTATATTTCGGAAGAGTACACTCAAATTTATGTATTATTTTCCCCTAAACTAGCTAGATCTTAAAAATACAGAAAAGTATATTATCAGAGTTTTTAACATATGCTATTTACTTTTTTTTAACTGATAAAGATTTGCAGTGTGGAGTCTTCTATGCTTAATTCAACTTTGACAGTACTGCATTGGACCACTTTGCATATGACACATCTTCAGTAAGGCAGGATATTAATTTACTATTTATGTCAAATTATAATATGAAGACTGTAATTATTATATCCAGAGTGCTTATTCATATCTTTTCTAGTTTCTAGAAATAGTGATATAGTCCTTGGGACTCTTCTCCAAAAGTAGGGGTAGTTTAAGAAAATATATTAAATATTCATAAATCATTTGCTGTTTTCTTTTTAGTCAGTTTTCTGTGTAGAAAAGGTAGTAAGTTTTAAATGTCATAAAGCTTCTCAATCCTTTGCTGGTTAAAATCTGCATATGGCTTAGTCTTTCGATTATCTTTTCTGTGACGCACATTCTCATTTCAGCTTCCTGTGTTGTCTCATAACAGTAATTCAAATCTATGATTTATTGCCATATACTTTCTAATATTAAAAGGAACAAGGCAGCAATTGTAGTGTCATGCCATTCTTTCAGATCTATTTTGTATTGCTTTCTATTATATGCTTTATCGGATTATAAATGTGACATTTTTTAAAGTAGATTAATAATGTGGTTGTAACTTTGTATTACAGTGTGTGTAGAAAGCTGATTTGAAATAATTTGATCAGTTATCAGAATATCCTAACCCATTTGATTATATTTTAATTAAAAATCAAATAAAGAAACCTTTTAAGTGTGAATGTAAACCAAAGAACTTCTCACTGGAAGTCTTTAACAGAGTTATTTTAAAAACTATGGTCGTCTCAGTGCAGTGCACATGAAGACATGGATTGGCCAGCTAGTTTCTGATTTGCTGTTGTTTTTTTTTTCTAATTTCTTAAATTAACTGCCTTTAGATGTGGAAGCACTTTCATTTCAGTATTAAGCTCTCAGATTTGAAAACTATTAATAGGTGAATTACAAAATGATTTGATATGTATCATATAAGTAAAAATGCAGGTTTTCTTTTAGAATTTAGAAGTATTCTCAAGACACATTGAAAAACCGTAGTTCAATTTTTTGAACTTACTTTGAAAAAAAATTCAGACCTGCCAAAAAATTGCAAGAGTAGTGCCATTTACTCCTGGTGGATTCATCAGTTAACATTTTGCCTCATTTCCTCTCTCTCCCTTCCTACCTAGTCTCCTTCCTTACCTCCATTTTTTTTTTACCCATTTGACATAATTCTTTTCTTTTTTTAGCTTTATTGAGATATAATTGACAAATAAAATGATAAGATATGAAAGTGTACAGCATGATAATTTGATATTCATATGCATTGTGAAAGGATTCCCCCACCAGGTTAATTAATACACCTATCACCTTACACATTTCCCTTATTTCCTTTTTTTGTGAGAATCTTTAAGTTCTATTCTCTTAGCAAATTTCACTTATATAATACAGTGTTATCAACTAATCATCATGTGTTAACACATTAGATCCTCAGACTTTATTCATCTTTAAACTGAAAGCTTGTACCTCTGTCAGCCTTTATCTCCCTCCCCCCAGGCCCTGCAAACCACTAGTTCTTTTCTTCGTTAAAAATATATCATGTGTTGCCTCAGGATAGTGAATCACATACTCCTGTGTATCATGCTGTTATTTGTAGAGGTGACTTTCTCAGAATCTCCTTGAGAATATTTTGTTCAGCTTTCATTTAACTTAAATATAAGTTTTCTTTTTGAAAGATGAAAAGATACAGGCTTTGACCTAGTGTAAATACTGAAATATTTAAATTTAACAGAAACTTTAAGTATTTGTTTTGCTGAATTAATGGGAGCAAAAATTGGAGGATATTTTGATTATAAGGTTGAACATTTTATAAGGGCTTTGTACTCAATCCTGGGAGTTTGTGTTCCATTAAACTTTTATTTGAAATGACTTCCTAATCTTGGACCAAAGAAACTTTTTAGTATTTGATATATGTGTGTACCAATTTTATTTTGGATTCAAAATACATAGGAAATGTTTCAAGTTAATATAGCATATATTCGAAAATTATTTTGGGGGGGAAGTAGATGCTAATTTTAGCCACCTTTGTTCTGAATTAGGAAGCTCTGGAGGAATATGTGAAAAGAGTAAGCTCTATTCAGATGGTAAGAAGAAGTCCTTAAACACTGGAATTATTACTGTTCAGAACTATGGGTCTCATGTACCCCCCAAAGTATCTCACATTACATTTGCTCATGAAGTTGGACATAACTTTGGATCTCCGGTAAGTGTTGCCTAATTTGTTAGATTTTTAAAAAGTTACTAATCTAATTTTATATGGTGTAGTTTTTGTTGTTGTTGCTAACAGTGAGAACAAGTACACATGAATGTTAAGTTCTTATGTTAGAACACAGTAATGTACTTGGCCACAGTACTGAAAGAGAGAAAGATAGAATACTTGTGATTAAAATAAGAAAATAAGCACAACAGTGCTAGGATTCTATGAAGGCAAGGAATTTTGTCATTCATTCTCTTCCATGTCTCCTGCCCCTAGAACAGTGCCTGATACATGATTCATTCATATATTTATTGAACGAGAATCATTTTCCATTATGTAAAGTACATTTTGAATGTTAGCAAATTGTACGGTGGTTTTTTTGCTTGGTTTCTGTTAAAGCATTATTGGGGCTTACTAGATTTGTCTTTGTCTACTATGGAAGGAAACTTTTAAAAAAGTCTTTCAGTATAATAGGC